GTCAGGAAAATCAGGGAAAAGTCAGGGATTTTTATTAAAAGTACTGGAAAAAATTTAATTTTTAGAATTTATAAGAAAATTCTGAATTTTGGTGTCTTCTTTGTTTTCCTCATAATCAATAAAAATGCCAAGAATTCTAATACAAACCCTAAAATTTTTTCTATTTCTGACAATAATTTCTTTTTAAATAACTTAATTCTGGAAGAACTATCATAAAATTATTACTTATAAATTATTTAAGAATAATTTTACTTAAAAATTTCAAAATTAATTGGATTTCAAAAGAGTTGAGTTTACAATCTTCATAAATAGATGAACTTCAAAGGTTTTAATTTGAAATTTTAGAAAATATCAATTTTTAATGAATTTAAATAGAAATTTTAAGAACAACTGATTACAGTTAAATTCAACTATTTTTAAAAGTGATAAATTTCTTCGCATAAATTCAATTATGTTCAAAAATTTTTTTAAATTCTCGTCAAAATTTCAATTATTTTTAGAAGTAATGAAATTCTTGTCCGAAATTCAAATATTTTTAATATCTACTATTTTAATAAAATTTTCCAAAAGAATTCAATTATTTAAACAAAATTTTAATAAAAATTTCCCTGGAATTTAATTACTTATGAATTTTCTATAAATTTCTTTGCACCAATTCAATTGTTTTTAATTTTTTAATGAAGTTTCTCGAAAGAATTAAAATATATTCAGATAATTGAAAAAAATAGTTGTGAGGAATTCAATCATTTCGAAAAATTTATATAAAATTCTTTTAAAAATTCTATTATTTCAAAAAATTTTGAGAAAATTCTTTAGCTACAAGATTTAGTTAATAAAATTGCAATTTTAATAAAATTTTCCTATATACAATTCAATTATTTTCAATAGAATTCTTCTTAAGAATTCAATTATTTTCGTAAATAATACATTTTTTTTAATGAAAATTCAATTATTTAAAAAAATTGGTATAAAATTCTTCGCAAGAAATCAATTATTTTTATAAATAATAAAATTTTTCTCTAGAATTCAATTATTTGAAAAAAAAATTTGATAAAATGATTTATAAATTTGAAAAATTACAATAAAATTGATCATAAAATACAATTATTTTCGTAAAATGTAACATTCTTCCAAGGAATACGTACAATTTTTGTTAAAAATATTAATAAAAATTTTCGAAACAATTCAATTATTTACGTAAAAAATAAAATTCTTCGAAGCAATTCAATTATTTAAGAAATTTTAATAAAATCTTCCTCAAGAATTCAATTCTTTTCAAAAATAAAATTTTTCACAGGAATTTAATTATTTAAAAAAAATTTAATAAAATTCTTCGTCAGATTTCAATTATTTTCAATTTTTCAATGAAATTTCTTAATGGAATTTAATTATTTTCAAAAGGTTTTAAACAATTCTGAGAAATTCAATTATTTACAAAAATTTGAATAAAATTCCTCACAAGAAATTAATTATTTTCATAAATAACAAAACTTATCGCAGAATTTCAATTATTTTTTATATAATTTTAAATAAAATAATAGAAAATTGCATTTATTCTTAAATTACTTTTCAAAATTTGCAGAAAGAATTCAATTATTTTTAAAAATTTTGATAAAATTCTTCATAAAAATTCAATTTGAAGAAACATTCAATTAATAAATGATTTATTTTTGTATTTAAATAATTGAATTATCGTAGAGATTTCTAATAAAAATTGTTTTACAAATGAATTTTAGTTAAAATTTTAGATGATAATTGAATATTAAATGCATTTTAGTGTAAATTTTTAGAAATAATTGAAATTTGAAAAGGGTTCAAATTAAAATCTTTAAAAATTTGAATTTATAGTTACATAATATTCTTATGATATAAAATAATGATTTTATCACTCTGTCATCTTAAAATTATAAAACATGAAGGAATTGATCACTTTGAGTCGAAAATTTGGAGTGATCGATTTCTTCATGTTTTATAATAATATTCTCATAAGTTATTGAATTTCAGAAGGATTGAATTTAAAAATCTTAATTCCTATAGAAAAATAATAATGATTAAATATTTATTTAAAAAAGAAGCTACTGATGTTTTTGAATAATTTTACTTTTGAAGAAATTTGTAAATAAGTGTAATAGAACATGTTTTTGAGTATCTAATAATTTTTTGGGTGAATCAGAATATTCTTCAGGGTCAGGTAAAAAGCCAAAATTTTTTCTGGAAATCAGGGAAAAGTCAGGGAAAAACAAAAATAAATTTTTGTGTCAACCTTGATCCACTGAAACTTTACTAGGTATTTTTTTTAAAGAGAAGCTACAAACAAACAAACAAACAAACTTTTTAAAAAAATTATGACAGCTTTAATTTCAAAAAACTTTTCTTTTTCTCGAAAAATGAATTTCCAGAATAGATTTTTATTTTCCATTCGGAAATTGAGAAAAAGTGCTTCGTCCTCTTTTTCTCCTTTTGTCAATAACAATACACAACTTGAGTTGAAATCGGTGTTTGACGTAGTTGAATAGTGTTGTCAGTGATGAAGTTTAGAACAGGGTTTCTCATTAAATGAAGAGCAATTAGTCAAGGTAGCATGGTCAAACTACTTTATCTCTTTGATGGACCTTCACACCCCGAATGTATATATACACCGTAAGCTGGTTTACATCCTGGTAAGACAAGGCTATTATTTTTGTTCTGTCGACGTAACTGCTCTGCTAAACCAGCTTCCTCTTCCCGTATACATATGTATATATACGTATAGGGAAAATGGATACGTATGCACATTTGTGAACAAGCATTATATACCTACCAACACGTTTATAATTCTCGAGGAATGCTCGAAAACATTTGCCTTTCTGTGTATTCAAATGCACATTCATGTATTGTTCATTGTAGAACTTAGTGTCACTATATGGATATAGTAAAAGAGCTTCGTCTTCCTGTGTGTACGCACGAGAATACACGAAAATATATCCTCCACCATTTGACGCATTTTTTTTTCTCCTCTTTTTTCATGAGGGCTTTCCCCATCGTTACACGTTACATTTTACTGAAAGATTTAAAGTCCCTATTTCCGACTTAGAGTCGGAAATTCTCGGATTTTACCCTCTACACGAGAGAACAATGCGAGAGGATTGTTCAAATTTGGGAAAGATTTATGGAATTAAGAGTGACCTAGAATGCTTCAGTATTGGCCGCATTGAAAAGGAGCGTGCTACATAGCTTCAAAAATCCTTGCATAACAGAGGATTGTAATTTTGCAAATTTTGCTTTCGACTGTTGAAATGTAGCAGCTAATTTTATTTTTCTTGAGTATAAACAATAACAGTGGGGTAATAAGTAAGGACTTTAAATTCTGACTCATTTCCCCTGACACTAAAGAATATTCTGATTCCCCCTAATTCAACAATTTATGTTATTATAAAACATGGTCGAGTGTTATTCAATTTATTCTCCATTGAAAGAAAAATTGATGTTAATTTTTATCAATTTTGCAGTTGGTGAAAGAATAGAAATGAATTTGATATTATTATTGTACTTTTTTTCGGTGTTTTTTTCTTGGGTAAAGTGTGTGTTTTTTTGAGAAAATGAGAGAATCGAGTTTCACGTTGAAGGATCTCGTTGAACAATCCAATTTACGAATGCTCACTTGGTCGTAAACAACCATTCTCAACAAATAATGGTGAGTCTGGTTATTGCGAAATGCCGCGGTTGAGTTCCCAACGGTTTTGCCCTGGCGACGATGCGAGGAAATAGAGAATGAGAGGGACGACATACAAGACCAGAAGTGTTCGATGTTGCACACACAAGCATTGCACGACCAGGTGGGTTATAAGTTTTTACTGGTTGCTTCATACTGCATCGTTCACTTACTTTGGTACAGCACCAGCTGCGTTTTATCTCGACAACACCAATCCAATGGCGACAACATTTCCCATTTTCACCTATGACTCTTTCTCTTTCGCCTAAAATAGTCTCAATTTAGTACATGTATGCAAATATCTGCAATATGGTTAACAGCATTTTATCATAAATGACGAAAATTTTACCCAACAAAAAGTATAAAAACTTGGAGCTTTATAAAAAGTTAGTATAATTTATTTAGGTTTTTGAATAACTAATTTTACCCTCTACTTTTTGTAATAAAAATCTTTATTGCTTCTTTATATAAATGTTTTTTTTTTTTTTTTGCGAAAATAGGTCGAATTCGGTAGTTTCTGCCTTACCCTTTGTGACAATGAATTTAAAATACTCTACTCGAGAGCAACGGCATTGACATGTTTCATTGGATTTTCATTTCAATGGATTGTGTATTCAACTTCGAAATAATTGATTCAATAGTGGAAAAAAAACCATTTTTATTATTCTGTCAACTCCAAAAGACGCAGTATTGATTTAATTTTTTATATTGCATTTCACTATTTTTAGCGTTTTAGTTTTATCTCAATTGATTAGTTGTATGTGGCGAAATTTTGTTGTATTTTAACCGAAAAAAGCCTCAAGAATTGAAATAAAGCATTTTTTTTGTCTATCGCAGGAAATTTATGAGTTTGAATAGTTCGCGGTCATCGATTCGCGATTCCCTCTGTCGTGTTGTGGACAACGAAATGTCGATTGAGTCGTTAACGGTAGTGAGCTAGGGCCATGATTGCTATATTTCCTAGTAATTTCAACCCCGAACAGTCATTACATATGGCCGCACGCGTCATTCGTTCCAACATGTTCGATCACGGCATCAATTAATTTGTAGTCGATTACGCCGTTCTCTATTTTAGCCTGATGCGCATTGCACTATATAAAGTAATCACTCTTCAAAGCTTTACTGTTATTGCTCGATTGTGTTCCAAAATGTATTTCCAAATTGGTAATTTCTATTTCTGCCGCGTTCCACTTTCGAAATACATTTTCATTTTAATAATAAAGTTAAAATTATTATCCAAAATTTTGTTTATATTTAAGGAAAGATATTTTGATTAGCAGTTTTATTGAATAATGTTTTTTCAATTTAGATGTCCTGACAGCGGGCCACGGGCCACCAGGATGCCGACAGACGATGACTATGGCCGAAGAGAACGTCTTCTGTTGCACCAGCACCCGAATGCTCAATACCGACCCCCATCAACGTCTCCAGTTCCAACTTCCATTTCCGGAAGTTCCAGACCCTCTGCGATCCAAGTTGAAAACACCAATTCCACGGACTGTTACCACAAGCGAGATGGATCTCGAGATCGATTCGAAAAGTCCAACGAAGAGATCAAGGAGGAACACTCAGAGCAACGCTCAACACAACCAAACTGCGATCAATACAGTATCGCCCAGAGTCAAGATCGTTACCAGTCCACCAATCATCAATACTCAGGAAGATCATCTTGTCAAACAATCTCACAGAGTATTTTGTCCGATCGTTATACGAGATACAATGAATCCGCTGCAATTCATAATCAACAATCTTCAGGATCTGTTTCGGAGAGATATGGACATGGAGATTCCGGCTTGCCGTCATCTGCAAATGAATACGCCAACACCAGTATCTTGGCAACAGCCTCAGGAAATCCATTCTCTCCAGATACATTCCCATCACCACCATCCCCAGCTCCAGCGAACGATCGCTTCGTGCCACCACCGCCGCTCTCGCCCTGCCCCAGCGAAAAGTATTCCTCATCTCAAAGTTTGTCTGGTTACCCTCCTTCTGATCGGGTGTTGTCCTCCAGTTCTCCGAGTCCCAGGGATCGTTTCGGTACAGCACCAACTTCACCGATTCCTTCAGCAAAAGATAGATTCTCCTCCTCGGAACGACTTTTGGCATCGACAGCCTCAATTCATGATACAAAGGATCAGCAACGTTACACGGCATCATCCACCGAACGATTACTTGCATCCGCATCGCCAGTTTTGGGAAATTTACAAAATGACAGATGTCTATATGCCGCTGGTAAGGACACGAATCATTCAAAATTTGGAATTTCATCGGAAAGATTGGTATCCTCCTCTCCTATACATGCACCAGTACCGGAAAGATTTGCTGGAAAGTCTTCCGATAGGTATATGGCCGAATCACCAATACACGATCGATATCAAACTTCATCGAGTAATCGCGACAGATTTGCCTCAATATCATCAGTCACGGAAAGATTTTTATCGAGTTCTCCAAATCCAGAGGGTGCACATCAAAGATATTCCTCGAGCGAGAGAATTTTATCCTGTCCGAGTGCATCAGATCAGTCTAGAAGGTATTCCAGTTCGGAGAGAAGCGCCAATGACTCCTGTCAGAAATACATCGAGCGATCGAGTTCGTCTCCGGTACCTGCCGATTTTACCAATAGATTCACCGGATTCCAGGACATTGGACAGAGATTTGTCATTTCCAGCGAGAGGTTCAACGAAATGTCCATGCAACGCTATGGGCTGTCCAGGTCGACGGACAGATATTTGTCGAATGAACGATACTTGGCGTCTAGTTCTCCGGCACACGATGGCAAGATGGTCAACGATTCGAACAGGTGAGGTTTTATTTTTAGATTATAAGTAGATGTACATAGAGGGTTCTATCTAGAGATTTCTGCACCGACATTTGTCGACATTTCTTAGCCCAGACTCAAACCACAAGTTGGGATAGAAGAGGCTGATCTAAAGTGTCGGTAAATGTCGGTGCAGGACTCTCTAGATAAATGACATTTACCGACACTACTTAGCCCAGGCTCAAACCACAAGTTGGAACAGGGAAGGCTGGGCTAAGAAGTGTCGGTAAATGTCGGTGCAGGACTCTCTAGATAAATGACATTTACCGACACTACTTAGCCCAGGCTCAAACCACAAGTTGGAACAGGGAAGGCTGGGCTAAGAAGTGTCGGTAAATGTCGGTGCAGGAATCTGTAGATAAATGACATTTACCGACACTACTTAGCCCAGACTCAAACCACAAGTTGGGATAAGGGAGGCTGAGCTAAAAAGTGTCGGTAAATGTCGGTGCAGGAATCTGTAGATAGAACCTTCTCTGTATATCTACTGTTAGTTAACACAAGTCTGAAAAAATCAAGAGAAGAAGACTAAAAATAATGTTGTCGAAATGCAACTGCATTATTTTCAGTCTTCTTCTCTTGATTTAAATTAAATTTCACATTGAAAAAAAATAGAAGATTAAACAAAACAATAAATATACAAAATTATCGAGTCAGGGAAATTAGAATAAAAATCAAATAGGGTGACATTCAAATTTTTGTTATTTAATTTTTTTGCAGACATTCATCGTCGTCAACGGATCGACTTCTCGCCTCCTCATCGCCTTCATCATCTGAAACGAGTCGTTACAATCCATCGTACGGCACTAGCATCCAATCAACGGCAGATCGATACAGTATGTCGCCAACATCTGACGGTGTCAATACAGGACATCGCAACTATTCGCAGTCCTCATCGAAAGGCAATGACAAATATCTCCAAGTATCCAAGTCAGCACAAAACTACGGCAATGATCGTTATCAGCTCTCCAATCAAAGTGAACAATTCGAAAGATCGACTCAGGATCGCTATAGCATCGAAAGGTACACTGGTTCCATCAACGGTGGTGCCGATCGATTTCAATCCTCAAATTCTGAACGCTATCACAGTTCTGCTGAGCGTTATTCTCCAGCTCGCACCAATTCCGACAAGTACCTTTCTCTACCAAAACCAAAAGAAAGGTATCCTACTGGTCGCATAGCAACCTCCTGCACCTCTATCACTGGCGGATCTTCGGAGAGAAATTATGGATCCGGAAATGGAACTTACGTCCCACCCACTGCTCACACACCAGTTGAAAGGTGAGTTTGTTTTTCTTCTCTTCCTTTTTAAAATTCATTTGAATTGATAGAATTTAGGAATTGGAAAATAATTCTAAGTCTCCAGATATTTGATAAATTCCATTGTCACTTTAATTGAAAATTGTTTGCTCTTGTAATTAGTAGCAGGACAGGTATATTTTAAAATTTCAACTACTTTTAAAAAAGTAATATCATTTTGTCAGACTTTAAAAAATTTATTATATTATTTTACAAAAGATTGTTCTTCAAAAAAGCTTGGAAGGAACTTGCTTCTTCTTTTGTTATTTTAAATATAAAAATGAAATATTTAATTTCAGAAGCTAAATTTCATTTAGTTGTCATTATTATTTGGCTTTGACGTTATTTTCAAAGTCTTGTTTCATTTTCAAAGAAAATCTAATGTAAAGAGCAAAAGAAGCTAAAAAATGTCACGCTCTAAAAATAACCTTTAAAGAATGTGAAACACTTTAAGCACAAAGTACAAAATACGAGCTTTAAAACCATCCCTAGAATTCTTGATAGCTTTTGTATGTATTGCAAAGCTATTTGCTGTAAAATGCGATAACTTTCTTTTTATCCCTCGTTACACGTGTAATTAAATATTTTAACAATTCCAACTTTCTTTTATCTATTGTCTAACTTCAAAAAAAAAGACATTTCTTTAAATTAATTTATTGTATTTTAAATTAATTAATTAAATTCATTATAATTATTGTGATTTTATAACTCAGTCGTCTTTAATAATAAAATGTGAATATAACGATCAGTCTGAGTCGAAGAATTATAATTATTTGTAGAATTGCAAATATGGAATCATAATATTTATAGTAGGATAATTATTGTTTATGTAGAACTAACTATAAATTCTTTATTGATAATATTTCGGTACTAAATTTATATCGTTGTTTTTAACTCTTGACCATTATACTTAAGTGAAAAAAATAGTTTCGGTCCATGTGGACTCCTAGAAAATTATTGCTTTTTGAACTTGAATTTTGAAAAAATTTAAATTTTTAAAGAAAAAGTTGTTTTTACGAAACTAATTGCGAGATTAAATTTTTTATGATTGCTTTTTACTGTTGGTAATTACCCATTAGTTTAAAAAAATGTTTTGGGCGCAATTGGTGTCTCGGAACATTCTCGTTTTTACCTCGAATTTTCAAAAATTTTCCACTTTTAAAGGAAATTTTTATTTACGACTTTAATTGCAGGGTAAAATTTTTTTTGCATGATTTTTATTCTCTGCGGTTACGTTTAAGTGCAAAAAAGAGATTTAAATTAATTGTTGCTCCGAAACTTTGCTTTTGACCCGTTTTTTCAGAAAACTTAAATTTATTTGAATGCAAAGTTAGTGGTTTTATTTTATACATCTATGGTAGGTTCAGGTAAATTCGGTCCTAGTGCATATATGCTGTCCTTCCGGTTTGACGGCGTTTTCAAAAGTCGTGGCCCATCTATCAAAATGTTATTAGTTCGTGACGTATGAGTTTATAATTTTACTAATACAACAAGAATCGTATTTTTAATCAGTTTTATCTTTTATTTCTATAAATTTTTTAGTTCAGTGATAAAAATCACCAGGACAAGGTCCAGTGTTAAATTATTTTGAAAAAATAGAATCCGAAACCACGTGGAAATAACTCGGCCATCTTGATTTTTTTTCTCTCCCTTGACCACGTGATGAAAGAGCACAAAATTTAGCGACGCCAGATGGCGCATCTCAGTTTTGCAATTCCAAAGATAAATTTAAATTTCAAAATTTAATTTTCCATAGATATGTGCCACAACCACCACCGGAAGTCCTCTATCCGGACAGATATGTAGACAGATATGTGCCACCAAGCGTTCATACGCCAGCCGATCGTTATGTGCCAGTGACAGATCCAGGTGATCCTTACATGAGACGTGATTTGGGGTTTCATCATCATTATCGACTACCACCGCCTGGATATGTCTATCATCAGACGCATTTCCGGTTACGTGGTTTTGCGTACGCGTCACCGGGACGCCTCGGCGGCAGTCCCGGTTCAAGTAGTTCGAGTAGTTCAACTTCTGCACAAAGAGACAGTTTCTCGACGTCGCCTCTTTTAAGGCCAAAAGTGCGCGCTTCCGCGATCGAATATAACGCGAATCCGCCGACGACGACGACGACGTCTTCGTCGCGTCATGTGTGTGCTAATACGACTCCATGTTGCTCTGAGGTCACTTCCGGACAAAGAGGATGCTGCCAAACAATCAGGAGGTCACTGCCACCAGGAGCACTGCCATCGATTCCAACACAGCCCGCCATTTCTTCTTGGTGAGTACACCCTTTGTTTGGGATTTTCTTTTCTTTATAGAGTAAAATTGTTATGAAAATGTTTATTAAATTATTATCTCTATCATATATTATATTACCTCTATTATCTCATATAAGTTGTGAGAATATTTATTAAATAATGAGAATAGTATTAAATTGTGAGAATTCTTTATTAAAAAAAATAGTTCTATCGTGGAATTATATATCTGGCGGAAAATTCTTTTGGAAAATGTTTCTATACAAGTATTTTTTCCTGGAGAAATGAATAGTTGATGAAAAATTCTTGACATTTTTTAAAGTTTAATTTTTCGGATACTTGAGTTAGTTCTTTTATAAGTTAGACGATAATTTATTTCAGACTTATTACATTTCTTATAACGTGATCTTAATAATTAAAATTTTATTTGTCGGGAAAATTATATTCAAGCTAGTTTCCTTTCTATGAATCGTCGGTAAAACAGATCAAATTTTAAGCGCGAAATTCAAATCGTCATTTAATTTTGTTAATGAAACTACACTAAATATTCGGTACAAAATTAGTTCTGTGGTAAAGAAACGAGGAAAATTTTATCAACTGACTAATAATTAATAATAATAATTCTATAAAGTGATAGTCAACTCTCTAAATATGAATTAGTAAAAATGTTTACTAATTTAAATTAGCGACTAACTTTTTGCTTTTTAATTAGTAAATTTTACTATCTACCGGGATTCGAACCCTAATCAACATTAAATTTAGTGCCTTGGACCTCGCGACCAAATGTTTACTAGTAAATTTTACTAATAAATTATCAGAAATTAATATTTATTAGTAAAATTTACTCATTCAAAAGCAAAAAGTCAGTCACTTATTCTAATTAGTAAACAATTTTTCGAATTCAAATTTAGAGAAAATTTAACATTTTTTGTATGATAATTTGACTAAATTAACATTATTTTAAATTAATTTTCAATGAAAATTTTATTAACAAGTAATTAATAAACAGAATTAAAATTAATATGAATTCCAAACTTTTTCAAAAAAAAAAATTATTAATATTATTAATTATTAATATTAATTAACTAATATTAATATTCTTCACCACAGAACTAATTTTTGCAATGAATTTTAAAGTGAGTTTCCAATCTATGAAAGGTTGGTAAAGTAGGGCAAATTTTAAACACGGAATTCAAATTTACTTAACTTTGATAATGTAATTAAATTAAATAATTGCAAAATTAGTTTTGTGGTGAAGAAACGATGAAAATATTATTAATTGACTAATAATTAATAATATTATTATTAATAATAATTAGATAAAGTGATAATCAATTTTACATTTTCTGTATTGTAATTTAGTTAAATTAACATTGTTGAAAATTTATTCTCAATGAAAATTTTATCAAGTAGTAATTAATAAATATAATTTTAATTAACTTAATAATTAATTAATTGAGATAAATATTAATAGATATTAAAATTAAATTGTAAATGAAAAAATAATTAATTGTTTATCACTTGAAAATAAAATGTTAATTATTAAATTAATTATTAATGAAAAATATTAATTAATATTAATTGGTATAAAAATTAAATGGCAAATTAAAAAATAATTTATTGTTTACCACTTGAAAATAAAAAATTTATTATTAAAATAATAATTAATAATAATATTAATTGATATTAAAATCAAATTGTAAATTAAAAAGTGATTCATTGTTTACCACTTAAAGTTTAAGAAAAACTTTTTTTTATTTACGTAAACAATTCATATTGTAGAATATTTTTATACTGGAAAACATGTTGTTCCTTATGAGAATAAACGATTTTTTTCTTTTCGAAAAAAAGTCAAGTAGAATTGATATTGACTTTAGAAAACTTGAGTGATATGATTGAAATTTTGGTTCGAGAAATCTGTAGTCTCCTATACTTGGAAAATATTTATAAAGTTTTGAAAATTGTTTGAAAAATCTTGTGTTGAAGTTTCTACAATTACCAAAAAAATCCTGTTGAAATTTACGTTATTCCTTCTAGCCAATTGTATTCTTTTATCGGTTTCAAAAGTTTTCCGAAAAATATTGTAAAGTTGTAATATAGTTTTATTGGAAAATTGTTGAATTTTTTTAAAGGTGTATACGTATATTTGTATAGATGTATGAGAAGACTTTCATGTTTGATCGTTCTAGAGAGAAGTTTTGGAACTTCTGTTTCATATTATACGATTTATGAGAAGTTCTTTTCAATTTTTTTTTTCTTTCGTTTTTTTGTCTTTTCAATAACTTTATGTTTTTTTCAATATCAGTTTTATTGGGCTTTTTCTTTTTTTTGGAACGTATTTTTCTTTATCATTTTTAACTGTTTTTTTATGGATTCGTCTCTCTTCTTTTTTATTCATCTTTTTATGTATTCTTTTTTGACGTTTTTTCAGATTCTTTTTTAGTTTCCATTATGACTTTTTTTTAGCTCACTTTTTGACATTATCTTATATTTTTTTTGCCAATTTTTAATTTTTATGTTCTACATTTATTTTTAATGCTTTACCTCTTAGGGGATTTTTTTTCTTTATGTTCAATTTGTTCTTTCCCTTCTTTTCTTTTCTCTATTTTTTCTTCAAGTTTTTGTTTCATTCGTTTGCTAAAATGCTTTCTAAAGTTTTCAATATTTTAACAAAACTTTGCAATTTGTTTCGTGTAAATTTCAAAACTCTCGAGAAATTGGTGTTCTGTTTTTTTGACGTTCTTCAACGTTTTATTTTGAATGTCTAACTTTGGTATTATAGTTTCTTTTTTACTTGTTTGTATTTTAAATTTAAAGTAAAGTTTTCTCACCAAACCACTTTCTTTCATGCGGGAATTAGAAGAAGGAAAAACAATTTTTTAGCCTCTTTATGCGAAAATTGGCCTATAAGACAGAAAAAAAGAAGAAAGTGGAAAGAAAGAAGAGTTGGGAAAAGTTTTAAATTGAAAATCTGTAGGAAAGCGTTTTATATAATATCAGATTTTTTGTTAAAGTTTTGTAAAAAGATTTGAATCTTTTCTCTAGATGGCTTAGTGTTGATCATTTGAATTCTAAATTCAATTGTTGCTTTTAAAGCAGAGGGTGTCTCATTTAATGGAAAAACCTCGTAAACGAGTGTAGAACAAAGACTTTCGAGATTAACATTTAAATCGAAAACTATGTCAAAGAATGTTTCGTAGTGTGTTTTCTGTTGTGGAAAATGAGACCGCGAAGAATAAAGTATGTTTTTGTATATAAATTATAAAATAAAAATATGAGGTTAAGAATAAAAATTAAAAATATCGGATGAAGGGAATTTTTTGCTCATATATGTCAACGCAATTTTTAATGGGATTAGAAGAGAGAACCACCCGCACCGTTAATGACAGATAATATATTCCCTTCCATAATAATCTGCCCCCTTTCGTAATAAAGCTCAAGAATTAGAATAGAAGAGCTCTGAGCCACGTAATTAGAGGATAAATGTTATTTATGTTCCTGGAAACTAGAATATGGTTCGTTGGAAGCTGAACGAACTTGAGACTATAGACAGAGTAGACACTTGGCTCAATGCCGTACAAGATTTAACTGTTTCTTACATCAAAGTGACAAAATGATCCCCATTAATTTCATTTAAATTATTACATAATTGTGTTCTGTGTTGTTCATTATTATTATTATTATTATTATTATTATTATAGTAATGAATAACCTATTTTCCACTAATTTATACAAAGGCTTTGTTCTGTAATCAATTTTCTGAAAAATCTTTGAGAAATTTGTCTTCATCTTTAGTAAAATAAGAAGAAACTTTATAGAATATTACAATAGTAATACTAAAGAAAATAATAATACTTAAAATGATGATAAAAATAATAATATTAATAATTTTATAATGATAATAATAGTAATAGATTGAACGTCAATTCATAATATATAATAATTTGGGTCGAGAATGGTCATCTTTGAGAAGTCTAATTATAGAGAGTGAGGAGATTAGTTAAACTTCACCGAAATATAATTACTAAACTCCTAAAGCGACAAGTGGTGTTAGACTCTTAGGATCTTCAGGTTTACTCACTCTCTGCCATTTCCGGTTTTAGAGACGCTGTTTGGCTTTTCCGCTTACGATTTCCTCTTTCGCAAGCTCTGGCCCTTGGGGAAATCCGCAGCAATTCGGGATAAACTTTCAAGTTTAGAAATCTATCGACACTCCAAGAGGTTTACTCTCGTTGACTTCTTGATTATAGATACTGAGGTCATTGCACAATGATAAATAAAATTGTTTGCTCTTCAATTTTTGAAGAGAATTTTTCAATTAATTTTCATTAATTTTCATTAATTGCGTGTTCGAATGCAAAATTTATTAAATTGAACCAAATGCTTCTTTAAGGTATATAAATAAATTATATTTATATAATTACTATGCGGGGAAAAAAGTTTGAAGAGAAGAGAAAATTTTATTCATAGAATCTGCAAAAGACATCTTTTGTTTTAAAACTAATATTGTGAATTTTCCTGAAAACAGAAGTAAATCGATTTATTCATTATGTGTGTGTTTGTACAAAGAGGAAATATATATCTTGTGAATTTTGCTTTTTAATGACTAGCTGCGTGGCGAATCTGAAACTTTAGGAACTATATTAAACCCCTTAGGGCTTATCTCATACTATTCTCCCCTAGTGACAAGTATGAGAATTTTCATGAAGATATTCTCCTGGTTAACAGTGAGAAAGACTATATATATATATGCGAGTAAAGGGAAGAAAGTTACGAAGGTATGTAAATGCTGGCAAAGTTCATCCTCTTGTCAAACTTGTTCAAAAAACTTTCCCTATTTTTACTCTTCATATCTTAATTACAACTCAATTCGTATATTAAAGAATTTTTAATCTTTCGAAATTTTTCGCAACCTTGAAACGAAAGTAAAATTTAATAACTAAAAGTAAAGGAAATAACTGAAACAATAAATAAAAACTAAAATTAATAAACTTAAATGCAACTTAAATAGAGGTTTGTATAT